CGTACGTACGTACGTACGTACGTACGTACGTACGTACGTACGTACGACGTACGTACGACGTACGTAGACGAGAGAGAGAGAGAGAGAGAGAGAGAGAGAGAGAGAGAGAGAGGGGTTAGAGTATGATATGTGTGTGAGAGAGATTGTCACAGTAACAGTACAATCTCTGTGTGTATGAGAGAGAGCAAAGAAACTGAAGATAGGCCAAGAGGAATGAGAGAGAGAGAGAGCTGGGCTTGGAAGTCTGATACATTAATGGATATGAGTCTTAAGTCTACATGAAAAACTCCTATTCTTCTTTGACTATGTGGATAACTCTATCTTATTAGTTATATAATTATATTATCAAAAGAGTAAATAAAGTTGGGACAATTGTTTCATGTGGGTTGGACCGCATTTCTATACTATGCGGTCCAAAGGTATAAAGCATCCATCTTACAGATGTATGTAAATAGATGATTCATCAAAAAATAAATGTAATTAACGGTATAAATGTTTTTTTAATATAATTATTATTTTTAGTTTTTAATTTTTATTTTTCTCTATATTTATGATTTTCATGGTAAAGATTATATATTCTCTAAAAATTAAGATTAAAATATATTTAAAATATATATTTATTATCAAGCCCACATTTTGATAATATACGGGCTGGCCGCATAGAAATCATGTCTATAAAGCTATTATACTCCCATGAGAGCATACTATCTATTTATGGTAAAAACCTTCTAGTATTAATTTTAGGGCCCTAAATTTATGGGGATGTAACCTCTTGGACCACCCCTAGATTAATATCAAGACAAAATTTCCTAATTAACCCTCTATGCACTTGAAAAAGATAATGTGCCAAGATTAAATAGCGATGGCCTAGTTTTTAAGGAATGAGATTGAAGTGTTAAGAAATTAAAAATTATATATATTTTTTAATAGAATAATTATCTAGTGATTCTTAAGGGGTTATCAAAATTTCATATTGAAAAAAACTCTACCAAGTAGGTCTTCTACATGGATTACATATAGAAACTATATAATAAGATCATTTACCTTTAGTATAAGGTAGACACAATTAATCTTGACTATTAGATGCGA